AAGCCTCCACGGAAGGGTTTTGGTGCCTCTGCTTCCAGCCCCTGGAAAAGGCTCGGGGCATGTGTTGAGTTTGGTTCTGCCCAGCGCCAGTGATCACAGGGGCCGGGGTGGGAGGGTGTTTGGGTCTGGGGCTTTGCATGGGGCAAAAGTTCTTATGTCACCTAAGCCAGCCGCCCCCTTCCCTGCAACTCTCTTTTTACAGCCAGGCCCAGCGGCGCCGGAGCTCTGGACAGCCAGGCCCAGCGGCGCCGGAGCTCTGGACAGCCAGGCCCAGCGGCGCCGGAGCTCTGGACAGCCAGGCCCAGCGGCGCCGGAGCTCTGGACAGCCAGGCCCAGCGGCGCCGGAGCTCTGGACAGCCAGGCCCAGCGGCGCCGGAGCTCTGGACAGCCAGGCCCAGCGGCGCCGGAGCTCTGGACAGCCAGGCCCAGCGGCGCCGGAGCTCTGGACAGCCAGGCCCAGCGGCGCCGGAGCTCTGGACAGCCAGGCCCAGCGGCGCCGGAGCTCTGGACAGCCAGGCCCAGCGGCGCCGGAGCTCTGGACAGCCAGGCCCAGCGGCGCCGGAGCTCTGGACAGCCAGGCCCAGCGGCGCCGGAGCTCTGGACAGCCAGGCCCAGCGGCGCCGGAGCTCTGGACAGCCAGGCCCAGCGGCGCCGGAGCTCTGGACAGCCAGGCCCAGCGGCGCCGGAGCTCTGGACAGCCAGGCCCAGCGGCGCCGGAGCTCTGGACAGCCAGGCCCAGCGGCGCCGGAGCTCTGGACAGCCAGGCCCAGCGGCGCCGGAGCTCTGGACAGCCAGGCCCAGCGGCGCCGGAGCTCTGGACAGCCAGGCCCAGCGGCGCCGGAGCTCTGGACAGCCAGGCCCAGCGGCGCCGGAGCTCTGGACAGCCAGGCCCAGCGGCGCCGGAGCTCTGGACAGCCAGGCCCAGCGGCGCCGGAGCTCTGGACAGCCAGGCCCAGCGGCGCCGGAGCTCTGGACAGCCAGGCCCAGCGGCGCCGGAGCTCTGGACAGCCAGGCCCAGCGGCGCCGGAGCTCTGGACAGCCAGGCCCAGCGGCGCCGGAGCTCTGGACAGCCAGGCCCAGCGGCGCCGGAGCTCTGGACAGCCAGGCCCAGCGGCGCCGGAGCTCTGGACAGCCAGGCCCAGCGGCGCCGGAGCTCTGGACAGCCAGGCCCAGCGGCGCCGGAGCTCTGGACAGCCAGGCCCAGCGGCGCCGGAGCTCTGGACAGCCAGGCCCAGCGGCGCCGGAGCTCTGGACAGCCAGGCCCAGCGGCGCCGGAGCTCTGGACAGCCAGGCCCAGCGGCGCCGGAGCTCTGGACAGCCAGGCCCAGCGGCGCCGGAGCTCTGGACAGCCAGGCCCAGCGGCGCCGGAGCTCTGGACAGCCAGGCCCAGCGGCGCCGGAGCTCTGGACAGCCAGGCCCAGCGGCGCCGGAGCTCTGGACAGCCAGGCCCAGCGGCGCCGGAGCTCTGGACAGCCAGGCCCAGCGGCGCCGGAGCTCTGGACAGCCAGGCCCAGCGGCGCCGGAGCTCTGGACAGCCAGGCCCAGCGGCGCCGGAGCTCTGGACAGCCAGGCCCAGCGGTTCTGGGGCTCAGCCCCCACACAGGTCTGGGCTGCCATTTCACAGATCTCCACCATGACCAAGCTATGTCCCAGCTACCCCCCAAGCGCCAGAGCAATGGGTCTGAAATGCCCTGCACAGCTCTGAAACGTCACACACCACCCAGCACTAAGCACGGAGGGGTCCCTGCTGCAGGGGCCAGACCCTTAGCTGCCATAAAATGAGTCTAGGTCCCCAGTGAGGGAAGGAGCCAAGGGGCCCATTTCAACAAGTACAACCCAGGGCACTGCACTGAGTCAGGACGGACTAGAAAACAAGGTGCCCCCAGTGCCTAGGGCTGTCTGTAGCACTGTGCTGCCATGACCTGACAAGAGGCAGGGGTGTATATGTGTGGACACCCACACTACTTCCAGCTAGGATGGAACTGAAACGGTTCCGCTGTGTGCCATATGCCCTATACTGCTAACAGCTCGTGGAGATTCTCTTCCAATGCTGTGGGAGCAAAGGGCTATATGTTCTACCTCCGCAGTCACTGGGACTTTCCCAGCGGCCATCGGGTGCAGCACAGGGACAAATGCAGAGCCCCTCGGTGGCCAGGGATCTGTTTCAATGCTCTGCAAGGGGCCGCTCTGCCCGGTAAATGGCCCGCGCGGGTACAAAGCGGCAAAACACACGGTCGGTACCTGTCACCAAATAGAGGACGTTGTAGGTGTTTCCGTCGCGCGCCTCGATGCGGTGCACCCCGATTTTCTGGTAGCGATTCTTGTTGTGGAAGAGGGGGCTATGGTGCGGGGCGACGGGCCGCACCCTTCCCTCCACCTCCGGGTAGCTGTCAGCTATTTTGAAGGTCTCGGCAGGGGTGTGATTTTGCGGAAGACACTGAGCCAAGAGAAAAAAAATCCAGCCATCAGGGCCACCCAGCTCCATGGGATGTGCTGGGCTGGAGGCAGAAAGACATGGGCGGGCTCTCGCCCCGGCTAATTCCCCAGAGGAGCTCAGGGGCGAGGACGCTGGCCCACGGGTGTGCCCGGGCACCAGTGCTCCGCTGGAGCAGCAGACGAGCCCCTGGGGAGCATGTCCCCAGCTCAGTGTGGCAGAAAGCTGCCACTGCTGCCCTGTGATTGCCCCTCTCTTACCGCACAGCGGTCGTGCGCTTCCCCAGCCCTGGCGTGTATCCAGCCCCAATACACAAGGAACCAGAGACTGCTACAGCTGGGCAGGAGGTGGCTGCTTTGCCGTCGACGGCCCCCTCCCCCTGGCTCGCTAAGGCCCGGTAAGGCCTTGTCTTCAGAAAACGGGTAAAGCTATTGGCCCAGATCCTCAAAAGGAGATGGGAGTCGGAGGAATTTACACCCCTGAAGTTCTGGGCCGTAGAAACTCTTCTCCCTCTCTCCCCAGTCCTGTGCCCTGTGCCCCTGCGGTGCCCACCGCCTAACAGCACTGACATCACAGGATCAGCCCCCCAAAAGTTCCCTTGTCTCTGGCCCAGCCCATCTGAGGAGCTAAGAGCCCTCTTACATACATTCAGGACCAAAATGTGCCACCTACCTACACAAGAGCTCACAGGGTAAGCACACTGGGGTAGGGACTATCTTGGCAGAAGTGCCCTAAACCCCTGCGGTGCCCACCGCCTAACAGCACTGACATCACAGGATCAGCCCCCCAAAAGTTCCCTTGTCTCTGGCCCAGCCCATCTGAGGAGCTAAGAGCCCTCTTACATACATTCAGGACCAAAATGTGCCACCTACCTACACAAGAGCTCACAGGGTAAGCACACTGGGGTAGGGACTATCTTGGCAGAAGTGCCCTAAAAGTCCCCGTTTTCCAGGGGGAGACCCAGGCCCGGGCCCACGGCCGCTGTGCGGGTTCGTGGAAGAGTTCGGGGCAGACAGCCGGCCGCTTGGTGGGCATGTTCGCCGTGTAGCCTTTGAGTTTCGATGTCCGGAACACGGCGTCAATGTCGCCGAAGGAGTAGATACAAACGGCAGAGAACCCCCTGCCCGGGACGGAACAAACAACGGGTCAGGGTCCAGGCGCCACTCGGCCGCTGCTCAGACTCTTAGCTGCTGTGTGAGGACGGGGGGGGGCACTTAACCGCCGCTAGGGCCATTTCTAACTGTCCCCCACCCACGGCTCCGCCCACCGCCCCGGCGCGG